AGCTATATCATTATATTATGATTCCACTTCGACTTGTGTAGCCACGCATACAACATGTTAAATAACAAACCCCGATACCTACTTGCGACACCCAAAAAACAAAAAGAAACTACATTTTTCTTAGGGAAAAAAAAAATACAAAAAAACAGTTTCTTAATAAATAATAAAACTAAAATACATAGCTAATCAAAAGTAAAAATAAAAAAAAAGCGCAAAACATATATATACTATTTCAGTTTTATAGAACTTATATAATTTTCATGCATGCGCATTTATTGTAAAAAAGCATCAGAAAAGCCCCCACAAGTTGTAGTTTGCCATGAAACGCTCATATGCAATGAGTCGATCTGCTTTATCTAGCGGACTGGAACCATGGTTACACAGAGCAAAGCACCGCATTGTTTAGACTACAAATTCATTATTAATCACAGGTGATGGTGATAGGGTGGAGTAGTATTTTATAAGCCAACACACATGTGAGAGGGTTGATGAAGTGGCAACACACGCGCGTGTAAAGAATATTGCTTAAAATAATATTTTTTAAAAGAAATTCGGATTTTTAAAAATAAATTAATTTATTTTTTGTATTTAAAAGGTCACAACCTTTCAGAAACAATGTATTTTTTTTAATTATAAAATTAATTGAAATGACGTAACCTTTCTGTTTGGGTAGTAGTTTCTCTAACAAGTGTAATTAAAGGTTGTCATTAAGATAAATAGAGAACACGTTTTCAGAAAGAGACACCCTAAAAATTCATTCTTTTCTCCTTCATAGAAAAAACATTCTTTGTTCTCTGTGTTTTTCTTCACTTTTGCTTAGTGCAGAAACACTTTGAGAGGCTTATCATATCCCAAAAGCGATTTGTTGTTCAAACCCTGAAGCAATCTCAAGAGGAGAGCAGGCAAATAACGCTTTAAAGAAAGCGTAATTTTTACGTGTTTCAAGTGTTCATTATTAAATTTCTAATATGGGCATAACGACAAAACGACAAAATACGACCTACCAAAATTCTCTCACCTAACATTCATTTACTATCTCTCATTGGTCTACTGAATATGGCTCGAACTGTTCATGTGATTTTGGAGTACTCCCCGGATGCTTATTGATGAAAGCGTGTTATATCCAGCAGTAGGCCATTCCTGACTAAAGGAAGGAATAAGATAACGACCGATCTTTTTGGAGAAAAAAAAATAACACTTCTTTCGTCCAACCATATCTTAATCTTATTGGAGCAGATGTTAGTCAAGTATAAGGTCCTAAGTAACCGGAGACTAATAGCGTGTCACCACTACCTCGTCCTCTGTTACTTCCCTTTTGTTCTACCAATAAATTGCTAAAAAAAACCGTTGGATAAGGGATGACAACACCGTTAATCCTATTGTTTTTCAAGTAAAAACAACAAAAAACAAGAAAAAAAAAACCTAAAAAAAACTAACAAAACTACAAATTCATTAAACAATTAATGACACCCACATAGGTGAGGTAAAATGACAACATGTAGACGGCATAACATAACAAGATAACTAATAGCAGATGACGAGAAAGTTAAAAGAAAACGATAAACAACATGCGGCAAGAATGTTTAGAGAAGGACGAGTAAGGTAAACCACAAAATGAGAAGAGAAAATTATTGTATGAATTTGAATTTTTACTCATTATTCTTGATTAATATTTTTTTTACTAATATAATTATTTAACTAAAAAATATTAATAAAAATTAAGAATAAAAATCTAGATTCATGTACTTTAAAGAATTTGTCTCCTTTTTTCAAATGAGATTGGAGAAAGTGATAAGACGAAAATGAAATGAAAAATGATGAAAAAATAAAATAAAATTGGATTGAACACCAGAGGAATATTGAGAAAACGACAATAATGAAATACTATGACAAAATCGAAGCGACTACAAAAACAAATCGACAAATAATGACAAAAACGATTAAAAAAATAAAGTAAAATAAATTGAAAGAACAACCAAATAAAAAACAAAAACAAAATTAAAGACGACAAGTAATTGAGTAAATACGAAAATAATAACTCTTAAAAGAAACGACAATAATAGTAAATCAGCATGGAAAAGATGAAACGAAAACCAAATGAGGAACAACAATAAAATAACAGTGAAAACAACAACCAAAAAAAACAAGGGGAGGAAAACGCCAAGAAAGTAAAAAACGACAACAAAATGAGAGGGTGGCCCATGCAGGTCTCGAACCTGCGACCTTCGCGTTATTAGCACGCTCTAACCAACTGAGCTAATAGGCCATGTTTGAGATATGCTACCAAAAAGAAAATTCATATTAGTAAGACTAGCCCTCTGAATTGCGGATAAGGTGGTGACGAGTTCCGAATTGAGAATATCCAGTGGAGAAGAGAAGAAAGAGCAAAAAGAAGAAGAAGAAGAAGAAGAAGAAGAAATGGAGAACATAACGGCAAGCGAGGTGGCAGGTTTCGGAGTGGGCACTTTCCTCCTGTGCGCCACCATTGCCGCCCCAAGAGTAGACGCTTTCATCTCTGCTTCTCAGCGCAGGTTTCTCTCTCTCTCTCTCTGATTTATTATTATTTTTTTTTCTTTTCAAAGTTTGTCTTGTTGACGTTTTAGTTCGATATCTTCTTTTTTAGTTGGCTTTTATACGCACTTTTAGAGGACTCGAAGAAAGTCGTTCTGTTATTGAATTTGACATGGAATAAAAAGCTGAACCAATTTTTGTGTGTGTAGAAATATAGATAAGTTTCACATTTCCGAAGCTTTTCAAAGTAGAAGCAATTTGCTTAGCAGTAAGGATAAGGAGAGAGAGTTTAACAACCAAACTATGTTCTTCGTCCTATTTTGACCCCCAAACTTTAAAACATTACAAATTGATCCTAAATTATACTCCTTATCTCATGTTTGGCCCTTTAGTCACGAAAATCCTTTACTGACCATCTTGTGCTGATACAACCAACCTTGGCTGCTTCCTAGAAGAAAAATGTTGTAGAATTACCCACACAAAACCCAGCACTTTACTCCCTAGCCAATAAACTAAACCCGATTGCAAATGTTGATCACCAAAACTCAAATGATAGAATTTTAAAGAGGAAAGAAAGAAAGAATCACGCAAAGAATTTTATTGAGGTTCGGTCGATATTGAACTGCGTCCCCGTTTAGCAGCATCTCTCTTGATGGTTTCACTATAGCCAAAAAACTGATTACACTCTCGTGACAAGAACTACTATTCTCTACCAAGTTTTCTCTCACAGATACAAGATTGCAGAAAATTAATTTTAATCATGCTAACCTCCCTTTAAATAGGTTTTCTATTAACATTTATAACAATTAACCATAGTTAGATTACAAACAATCCCGCTAATCACCATTTAACCTGATTGGTACGTGACTAACTTCTATATAACATTTCCTAAATCATTTCTCTTGTCTAATGCGATGACAATCCTACTTTGTTTAGTCATTTGTCTCTTTGAATTGCTTGAGTTTTGTTTCTTTTTGGTAAGTTCACTTCACAATCTAGTTCAGATCCTATGATACTTCTGCTGAGAAAAGAGTACTGCAGGGATAGGCATGTATAGTGATACCATTTCTTGTTCAAATTTTATTGTAACACATGCTACTAATTGCTCTTTGGATTTCATCCAAGATTGTGATTTTTTATATCTTAATCAAGGCAGAGAAATCTCTGAATATAAATTTCCTCATCTGTTCAGGAAACAAAAATGATTTCTTTTTCTCAAACGTATTTTTAATCTACATATATGGCTTCAGATATTACAGTAATCCACTAATTCTGCCTTGTTTTCATATGACCCTTTATTCAGTTCTCTTGGTATGTGCAAGAGATGTGGGAATCTGAGGATGATAGCATGCACAAAATGTAAAGGAGCTGGATTAATCAGACAAGGCTCACTATTTGGTTTAAATCTACTGGACGACTCGAAGCGAAGATCTACTTCATGCACAAATTGTCAAGGCAGAGGTCATTTTTCCTGCCCTGAGTGCTCTAATTCATCTCTTTGATGATCCTCAAATCATTAAAAAAAAAATCATTTTCCTTTATCAATTTGTGCTTGATTTGAGATGTTTTTTCCTCTAGCGTTTAGCATGATATTGCCTGGTTTGGCCCACTTGTACAGGACAAAGAAGTTCATAGACTGCTAAGGTACCAAAGATCTACAATATAGTGTTCTTGGTTGTTATTATGTTCATTCACATCTGATTCATAATTTAATATCTTCCATTATAATGGATGTACTGGGAAAATTACTGTTTTTTGGTTTGTATGTCATTTTCTTTTCCTATCTATTCTATCAAATATGACTAGATCACATGTTAGGTTCACGATCATCCTACTATAACTTACCACTATTAACCTGCCAAGAGATCTCAAGTGCTTATCTTGTGTCCACTTTTATGGTATAATCATCTCAAAACACTCAATGGCCTCGTTCATTTCACCGATTCGAGTTTTCAGTTTTAAGTTTCTACAGTTAAAAGCTCTTAGAAAATGTCACATCTAATTTTTTTTGCTACAGTTTAAAGCTCTCAAAAAATGTCACATCTCAGCTCGAATTGAAAACTCGAATCCGCAAAACGAACGACGCCAATATAACTCAGTGGTGATGCTTGTGTCATAAATTTGACATGTTATTATTTTATATGGTCCAACTTTTCAGATCCAAGATAGTGAGTTATTTTTACTAAGAGAATGTTCCTTCTTCTCATGCTTGTGTAATGAAAAATTACCAAAGCATTGGGAGTTGGTAGAGGCATGAAGTTCAATACTCCTTAGAATATGTCTTCACTTTTCTTTTTTTCTTTTTTTTTTTCCGAATATGGTAATAACAGCTCAAAAGTTATTATTGTATCCTTGAAAAATTTTCAGCTTATTCGTATTTGAATGGAGTCCAGGTTAGCAATGTGCTTTTTATCCCTAGCTAGTGGAACACTAGAGATGCATACAAAGTTTGCAGAGCATTTTGACAAAACAAGAAAGTGAAGAGATAATTTTGATAAAAAGCAAAAGCAATAAAGCCGACACACGGTAAAAAGTAAAATAACTAGATCTTACTTTTTTATTATGTGACAGTTTTAATGTATTGTTATATGTGGTGATGCAATCATCACTAATAATAAATACTATTTTCATGAAAAAAGAGCAATTATATGTATCCAATGGATTGAGATTAAGTGTTTTTTTGAAAAAAAAAAAAAAAAAGGCTGTTAGTAGTAATAAATATGGAAACAATAAAGATGGTCCTGAATTGGGTTCTCTTCAAATCTTGAGATATTATAGTGTTTTACTAATTAAGAAGAGTTTTGTGTGATTAATGGCAACTTAACCAAGAGTTTCAGAATATAGTAGCATCTCATAAAGTGGGGACAAGATAAAGTTTCCTTGAGATGAAGTTCAAGGTCTCGTTCATTTCACCGATTCAAGTTTTCAGTTTTAAATTTCTACAGTAAAAAGCTCTCAGAAAATGTCACATATAACTTTTTTTACTACAGTAAAAAGTTCTCACAAAATATCACATCTCAACTCGAATTGAAAACTCGAATCCGCGAAGTGATCGAGGTCCAAATATATTTTGACGTCAAGATATTGAGAAGCCAGAAGGCACACATGACTCACACTTCTTGACTAAGTTAACTTTTTTGCCAAAACGATGGCAATGTTTGTGGTTAGAATGGGAATGGAACACCATGCTTTGATATCGACTTATTATTGGGTATGCATGTTTATAAAATCAGATAACATTATTGGTATGTACTACAGCTTTTGTTTTTGTTTTTTAGACTTCATTGTGTTCACATTGATAGTGACTTTGAATATTGAGGATTAAACTTCGAATCTTCTAAGTTTAATTGGAAACTTTACTTCGTGAGGATTTCATTCTTTAGTTTTAGAAGATTTGGGTGATTAAAATTAAGGAATTTGTCACGCTATGAATGTTTATATTTATCCATAAAGAACAGATACTGAAGCTGATGTATGTTACGGGGTGATCATGTTTCAAAACAAAGTACAATTAGCAAATAGCATTTATGTGAAAATTTGATTTTTTAAGGAACAACTTCCATCTTAAAAGGTCACTTAGTTAAGTTGGGTGATCCAATATTAATATTTATTTTTTATATTTAAATATTTTGAGACTCAAGTTTGTTTCCACCCTTTACAAATTCAACTTTATTTTCTCCTAAATTGCACAGGACTTTAGTCTTGAACAACCTTGCTCAAGAAACAAAAGGGGAATACTAGAAAACAGAATTTTTTTTTCCTTGATAGAATCATCCAATGTTATATTAAAAAAAAAAAATTAGGAGCATGGTTAGTACTTAAATTATTAGAGTATTGTGACAACTTATTTTAGTTGACCACTTCTTAAACTTTTTTTTTCTTTTACAGTTGATACTAAAATTGATAAAAAAAAAATTCAAAAATAATCACATCTCTACTGTATAATAATTGAAAAAGTCTCGTTATTTTATTTTATTTTTATTTTTTCTTGCAATTTTAGTCCTTGATGGTAAAATTAATAGAGAATTTCTAAAATTTAATAAAAAAAAATTTAGAAGCAGTAAGTGGAACGTTTTAGTAAAACTTTTATTTCTTATGCAATAGGGATGCAATTCCTCCTTTTAGTACGTACTAACTAAAACTATCAAGAATAAAGATCTAATTAATTATGCGTTTAGTTTAAAAATTCAGTACGAATTCAAATCATAATTTATAATTTATTATAATATTTTTTTAAAAAAATACACATAAATTAAAAATAATTTTAAATTATAATTTTAAATTATAATTATAATTTATAATTTTAAATTATAATTATAATTTATAATTTTAAATTTATCAATCAAACATCAAACGTCTTTTAAAAAATAACTTCAAAAATCAAAAGTATTTATCCCAATGCCACGGGTAAAATAGTAAAAGCAAAAATTTGCGCCCGCCATAATTGTAGAGGGCGGAGACCAAAGGAAGAGAGAGAACGCTCTTAAGTAAACGCTGTAAATCAAGACCCAATAAAAAGCCGACACGTAGTAAAAGAAGATGGTTGGCTGGCTGCTGTGACACTCCAGCAGTGAGTGACCTTGGGAAGCGGTAAAACAAACTAAAGTGGATCCGACAAAATGCTCCGTACATAACTCGGAGTTCCCATTGAAACACGTGTTTATCTACTAGATTCTTCTCTTCACTTTGGGACAAAAGTGCAAACTTTTGTAATTATTTCCTTCCCCTTATTTTGTAGAGATTTTAACATGCCTGGAAAAATAAATGAGATTTTACATATTTATCCCTTGAGTTTATTCTAATTCTAGCAGTTTGTCCCCCCAACCTGCAAAATAGTTATATTGTGCCATATTTTACTAATTTTGTTCTGTTTTTTTTTTCAGATTTAAAAGAATTGAGATTTAGAAAATTAATAAATTTCTGTTATGATTTGAATTGGAATATTCAAAATGAATTTTTTTTGAATGTGCTATTTCATCATCAATTTAAAATAAGCATCATCTAAATATGACACATTATAATAATTATCTATTCAAAAGGTGATTGTGCAAAATACAGAGAAAAAAATGGTGCGCTTCTTTCTATTTTTAAGTACCCCAAATTTTTATGGATTATCCGTTATGTATATATTTTTTAATTTTGATGTAATTTTTTATTAGATTCTAATATCAAAACGTGCACTATCTATGATTCTATATAAGGACCTACCAACCCTTATTTTATCTATATTTTTACACGATTTTCTCTCTGCTTCTTTTTTTTCACGTTTTTTTCTCTCCTTCCCCCCTTTTTTTTTTTTTTTTTTTTTTTTTTTTTTTTTGAAGATAAACTATGAACTGACTTTATTTTCAGATAATTTACTTTTCCAAAAAATTAAAAAAGGGAAATTGTTCCTTTCTCTCTCACCCTATTTATTTGCGGCGACCGAAATATGCCTTGCGTTTCCCCTATGGTGTTGCAGTGGTTGATGTAAAATGCTTAAGGAACTTAAAGAGAAAACCACCTATCTTTTCATCTTTTGGAATTGGATGCTTCTCCGTTTCAACTTTCCTCATTTGGTATTTTGTATTTGACATGGTGAAACCAGACCAAATTACCTGTTTCAAGATATTTTACACCTTTTTTCTTTTTTTTGCCCCCTTGGCCACGCAAATTCTTTTGAACGGTTCACTCATTTAATTCTACCAGCAGATATTTTTTGTGAGCTTTCTAAATTTGTGTCTCATTCACTTCACTGGGATGATATGTGTTCAGTATATAATTTGAGGTAAGAATAACTTTTAAAAAAAAGAAAATTATTAGGGTCTATTATATATTATCATAGAAACTTCAGGACATGATCATCATGAACTATGGCCAGAAAAACATTGGTTTCTTTGTGTTGGGAATAGCTGAAAAACAACAGTTTTTTTCTTCAGCAATAAAAGAAAAACTAGAAGAAGAACAACAATTAACTAGAATTGGGAAGCTTAATATAACTTCGATTCCATAATTTATTTTCAGAATTTTGGATTAGTTTTTTCGTAACACTGGTAAGAGATTTTTTTTCCCTTAAATAATACTAGTGTTTGTTGTTTTATTTTATGTCACTATCATTAAGGATGGCATTTGTACACGCGTTTCCACAGGGTGGTGTGGGAGAAGCATCCCTACCTCGCCCCCTTATATAATATTATTCCTTTTTTAAAATCTGTTTATATTATATTTGTGAAAAATGTAAAATACAAAAAGAGTACGATGTTGATGAATTTTTACCTTTAATTTAGTAAGACTTGCTTTGAGTTTTGATAACAATCTTCTTTTTTTTTTTCTTTTTGAAATTAATCCTAATAGGTCGACGGGCCGTAGAGTATGGGGATTTCTTGGTGCAGATTCTTGAGCCCCAAGCAATTATTATAAGAGCTAAATCTATCAAAGGTCTCTGAACTTTTCTCTCTCACTTCCGTTGTTACATTAGTAACTATCGTAAGCAATTATTATAAGAGTTAAATCTATCAAAGGTATCTGAGCTTTTTTCTCTTTCTATAATTAGTCTCTATACTTAAAAGTGTACCAATTTAAACCTTAAACTTTTTAAATGTCTCAAATTTAATCCCTCAGTTAATATTCTGTTAAATTTTGGATGGAAAAAGTTAACATATTGGTATTTAAATTATAAACAAATGAGTAAATATCTTATCCCATCATGTCTTGCAAAAAGGTATATCAAAAGTCTAATTTATTTCATAAAAAAGTTCATACTTCTAAATTTATCAATAATAAACCAAATTAAATGAATTTATTGATAATCAGATTTACCTCCAAAAAAAAAAAAAAAATAACTAAACAATCTATCCAACTTAATTATACCTCACTTCTCAATAAAATCTTCTCTCTTCTCTACTTTTCTAAATTTTCTTATCCCAACATTGCTATGCCATCAAAGTTAATCAATTTAAAAGATTAGTGTTTTATGATCTTTTGGGTCTACAAACCATAGTGGTATTTTCAACGGTGGTCTTCAATATTTTGGTTTTCTTTCCAGGCTTTTTGACCTAAGTAGATAGGAAAGAGCTGATTGATGAATCAGTACTATTAAACCTGAATTGATGACAATATTAGCTTTGCTTATAATTAAAGTTAAAACGTGTGCACTAAAATAGTCTTCGTTTTTTTCTTTTAAATACTAATAATTTGAGAATTGAGATTCTGAGAAGTAAGCGAGATACAATTTGGATAGGTTGTTTTGGAGGAAAATTTAATTGTGGATAAGTTCATTTAGTTTTCTTTATTATTGATGAAATACTCTTTTTTTTTTTTTTTTTTTTTTGCAAGAAATGGTACGAAGGGGTATTTATTCATTTATTTATAACTTAAATACCAATATTTTAACATTTTACATTCAAAATTTAACGGAATATTAGCCGAGGGGCTAAATTTAAGATATTCAAAGAGTTTAAGTTAGTACACTTTTAAGTAAAGGGACTAATTATAGAAAGAAAAAAAAATCAGAAACCTTTGATGAATTTAACTCTTATTATAATTATAATTAACAATTTGTAAAGTACACTATTATGATCATTATTAATTATATAACTATTAGATGAATTTAATATGACAATGATATGAAAGAAAATAATTCAAACTAGTGTTATTTTTGAAATATTTATAGAGATTTAGATGTGTAACCGTTGAAAATATCAATTAGATATCACCTTTCTAAATGGTCATTGGTCAAATATCATGGGCTATGTTAATAGGGAAAGGCTATTTCCTATTTCTATCCCCATAAAAGAAAAAGATCAATGAGGTACATATACAATGCGATGAATGTGATTTATTTTAATGAAATGCCTTTTTCTGTAACTTCCTTTTCATGAGATATATTGCCCATGTGTATATTATATATATACTTTAAAGCGGCAACAGTTGAGAGAAAAGTGATCAGTAGCACACGCGTGGAATTGGTATTGAAAGAAAAATGTGATATCATGCATTAAAAGGACAGCCTTCAACCAACACTCCTGTACATGCATGCATTACATTGTAAACTTTAAAGGATCAGTAAATATTCAACTAATTAAGTGAAGAAAAAAGAAGTAAATATATATACTTAACTCTTAATTTTAATCAATGTAAGCTTCAATTTTGTCAAATTCATGTCGTTTCATTCATCATTTAAAAATGTCAATTTATTATTGCTTCGTTTATCTGGATATAATTTCATTTTCACAGTTTCAAAATCCACACACATATAAATATATATTGTCACTGTTTTTGTTTAATTCTTAAAGCTATCAAAACATTTCAGTTTCTTATTGAGCAGATAAATCTTGATAACTAATAAATATGAAAGTTGCTTTATTTAGGCCACGCACTTGCATGAATTTCTATCATTGTGGCTCAGATCTTTGTGGGATATTACTTACGAACTATGCCTTAATATATTTCCCTTTTTTCGCCTTCCTAATTGATGAATTATGGTACCAACTACCAAGTAGATAAGTGTAATTAAACACAAATCTCATGCCAAAATTTTGCAGGTTTTGGTAAAAATTAAACTCAGTAAGGGCAATATAGTCACACAAATTGTTTTCCTTTCTTTCATTCTTTTGAACTAAGAAAAGATTTAAGAAGAGAAAATTTGATAAAAGTTTTCCAAATCCATTAATTACCGATACGTGGAGATCAGTTTTAAGGTTGGTGACGGCGTTCATAAACCAATGGAAATCACAGCCCAAACCTCTCACGCGCCATCCGTTAACTGTGGAATCACGCTTCGTCAAAACCCACAAGATATGAGGACATACATAAGACCCGTTTAGTTCGTTGATTCGAGTTTTTAATTCGAGTTGAGATGTGATTTTATGTGAGAGCTTTTTACTGTAGCAAAAAAGTTAGATGTAACTGTTTGTGAGAACTTTTTACTCTAGCAAAACTCGAATTCTAAACTCGAATCAGCGAAATGAACGGGCCTATAATCTTGAAAGATTCTTTTTTCCAGTACTCGCTCTCTTAGAGCGCGTGGTGATGATGTTTCTTTAACAAAGAAAGAACGACAAGAGGCTTACAATTGCAAAAGAGGTTTTACACGAAACTGGGAAGAACACCAAACCCTAAAAAAGCTCTCATTTTTGTTTTCCATTTTTTCTAAAAGGTTTCAGATTATTGCAAAACCTAAGGTTAAAAACCAAAGCTGAGAGAGAATCCAAAGATCCCATTAAAGACTTTTCTTATTCTTCTTCTTCTTCTTCATCTCTCTCTCTCTCTCTCTCTCTCTCTCTCTCTCTCTCTCTATCTCTATCTCTCTCTCTGTCTTCCTCTCTCTAGGGTTTCCCAGTGAGTTTGGGATCAGTATCCAACTTTTTGTTGAGCTTCACAGATTTGGTTACAGTTTGGTACTGACCCAGAAAAGGAGGATCAGTAGAAGGAGAAGAAGAAGAAAAAACAAGCATATATATATATATATATATATATATATATATAGAAAAGAAGAAATTAAAGAAAACAAGTAGTGATTTATTTACCAAAAAAGAAAGAAAGAGAGTAAATTAATAAGATCGATCGATGGGGAGAGGAAGAGTGGAACTGAAGAGGATAGAGAACAAGATAAACAGGCAAGTGACATTTGCGAAGAGGAGAAATGGGCTTCTCAAGAAAGCTTATGAGCTTTCTGTTCTCTGTGACGCCGAGGTTGCTCTTATCATCTTCTCCAACCGTGGCAAGCTCTATGAGTTCTGTAGCAGTCCTAGGTAATATTTAATTATAAAGAATTCCTTTCTGATGTCTCGGATCTTTAATAATATGTGTGTCTTTTACTCATATATATATATATATATTTATATATATTTTGTAAATTAGTGATTTGATCTTTTCTTATTTGGAAAATGCAACCTTTTTTTCTTCGTTGATAAGTTATTTCTTGGTTGCAATGTGAAATTAAGGTTTTTTTAGGTCCATTTCCTCTTCTTTTGGAGGAATTTGAGGTTCACTACTAATTAATAAGTTTTTTTGAATAATTAATTTTTTGAACCAAAGGTTTGTTTTTTGAATGTTGCGGATCTTATAATTGTCTTTTTTTTTTCTATTCGCTTTTTCTTTTTTCAGGTGATTTAGGTTCTAGAGTTTTCTCTATATATCTCTATGAGATCTCAAGAAAAATTGTTGCACAATTTTTATCGTTTATTAATTACAAATAATATAATATATATTGCTTTTTGAAATGTCTTTTCTTTCATTAAAGGGTGTGTGGGATTTATTGAATTCCCAGTACTGGATATTTCAAGCTCAAATATTAAAATTTGATATCTTTTTTTAGTAATAATATTAATTAATCTATATATTCGCCGGTCATCGGCTTCTTGTTTTTCCATTTACCCGGCGGACGGAAACAAAAATTACCTGCCTCATAAATCTAGGTGTTCTTTAGAAACTTTTATTATTATTTTCTCTTTTTTAGAAAACGAACCTTCAAAGAATCTTCTTTGATTAGAAACCTGCTGGGTTGTACGTAAAATTTTATCTTCAAATTGTCACTTTACAAAGAGAGAGAAAGTAGGCCACTCGGATATCTAAATCTGTAAAGTTAATAACATGGAAATTAACCTCTTACAAGTTGCTTCATGATTGTTGTATTGTATATTGTGTATATATATATATATATATATATGTATATAGACACACACATATGTGTGTGTGTGTGCGCGCGCGTTTGTGTATTAACATATTTTTGTTCTAGTGTAAGTTTCGGGCTTCTCTAGTGGAATCAATAACTAGCAAGACTAAAGAGGTAAAGAAATTATAAGAATGTGGTCTACAATTCAATAATAATGCACTAAAAATTAAGTTAAAAGAAAATTTCCTTGTTCTGTGAGCTCGGGTGACCGCAATCAGGCAGACTCTCACGAGTCTATAATTTGTCAAGATTATTATAATTCATACCATCTTCTATTTTATATTGAGATTGAGATAAGAAAGATTTGACAACTGGAAATTGGAACGTGGCATAGAAAAAGATTTCGGTTATAGGATTTCAAATTTTGCAACAAGAGGCCCTAGCTGATAGGTGTTTAGGTGGAGTCCTTTTGCCACGTTGAATTTAAGTTCCAATTATTGTAAATTAATCTTTCAAGATCCATTAATTTACTTTGTAACTGTTTATCATAAAAGATTCAATGATCAATTATGACTGATAAAACTGGTATTAGATTTGGAGATTCAAATCACGTGTCAAATTATGATGTCCAATACGGTATCTAACCAATTACGTCATGCCACATTACTTAAAAATTTAAAATATGGTATAAGATTTAGAGATTCAATTCACCTATTAAATTATGATGTCCGAAACGGTGTCTAATCAATTACATCATATCACACCACTTAAAAATTTAAAATATTCTTAATTAACTTTTCACGTTTCTCATTAAATGATATGGCAAAATGTGATTGGTTAGACACCATTTAAAAAAATTTGGTAAATTACATATTTACTAAGTAAATCTTATATTAATCAAATAATTGATCACTCTCATTACTAGATAAATTTCGTATTTAAGGACAAAAGTAATAAGTAAACATCATATTTATCAATAAATGCGGCCATTCTGTCATTATTCGTAAAAATCTGGCCAATAATCAAACATGAAGAGAAAAATAGGTTATCTTATCTACTATTTCAAAGTGGTATGTCTTAAATATGTTAGGTTATGAAAATAATGTAGTACTGCTTACTTGAATGAAGCTCTTTCAAGGGAAAAATACAGTTTTTACGATATTGTTCTAACACTACTAAATTTAAATCAATATGTGGCAAATGTTTACCTTTATGTAGGGTTATTGTCGCGAATCCACACACATCATATTAAATAGTCAAATTTGTAAGAGACTATAATTAACGGGTCATTAGTATTAATACTGATAGTAATCAGAATTTGTTATACATATATTTTTATAAGATTTAATTAGTTCAGCATCCAATATCTAATGGATCTTTTTGTGATTTCTTTCACTATTAATTAGTATGGTCAAGACACTCGAAAGGTACCAAAAATGCAGTTATGGAGCGATGGAAGTCAGCAAACCGGGCAAAGAACTTGAGGTACTTCCTTGACTGAAAACTGTTTTAATTTGAACTTAATTGTTAGGTGGCTATAGCATATATATATATATATACATATTATATATATATATATCATGTGTCCGTCTTTATCGAAAAAATAAAACATCGTGTCAAATATCAATGATCAATCAGCTATTGACATAATGTGTACTGTATAGCAGAGCAGCTACAGGGAGTACTTGAAACTGAAAGGCAGATTTGAGTCCTTACAACGAACTCAGAGGTATGAATCTTCATTAATGTTCTTCTTCTTGTCAGTTGTCACCAAAAAAAAAAATATATATATATATATATATATATATATAACAATAATAATGAGGAAAATTATGTGGTATAGCACATACAAGTAGTTTTAGCGGTTTAATTATATTTTAAGGGTTAATTTATGAATTAATTGTTGTTTAGTAGGTGTTTGAATTGCTTTCAATGAATAATCCTAGGATACGCAACTAAAAATAAGTTCTAAGTCTTGAGTTACAGAATTTTTGCGTCACACGATGCACTCTAAATATTTAATCCGACGGCTATTAAAATTCACTCTACTAGTATGGCAAAACAAATTGTGTTTTGAGATTAATACTCAAGTTACAAGAGTTTTACTATATAGGTTAAGGTCCCGTTCATTTCGCTGATTCGAGTTTAGAATTCGAGTTTTGCTACAGTAAAAAGCTCTCACAAACAATCACATCTAACTTTTTTGCTACAGTAAAAAGCTCTCACATAAAATCACATCTCAACTCAAATTAAAAATTCGAATCAGCGAACTAAACAGGCCCTAAATTGGCTGCATATACCTAGTCTACTGCTATACATGAATGTGCGGTTATCTACTACAGTTTGCAATAGGCTTCGCTAAACACATGCATATTTGATTTGTGGCACTGCAGAAATCTTCTTGGAGAAGAGTTGGGTCCTTTAAACACAAAGGAGCTTGAACAGATTGAGCGTCAACTTGAGACGTCCCTCAAGCAAGTGAGGTCAACTAAGGTGAACAACAAAAACAACATTTATATAATATATATTTTTGTACTTAAGTATATACACACATATGGTTAGAAATTAATCTAATTGCATACGTACATCAATAAAAAAGATTTAATTTTCGTAAATATTTGTTGATTGACAAATTGGGTACAAGAAGGTTAATAAATCAAAGTAAAGTTGTGCGTCCTATTATCTTGTTAGTATAAGTTGGAATATATTACATTGACTATAATTAATACTCTTAAATATTCAGAATTTTGAATGAGCAACTATAAACTTGAGAAAAATAAGTAACCAAAATACTTTTAGCTGTTTTGAGTTATCAATTTTGAGATATGATTTTCCCTTTCGTTTTAATTGCTTTGCAGACCCAATACATGCTCGACCAGCTTACTGATCTACAAAGCAAGGTATGTGTTATTACATCAAAACTATATATATATATATGTATGTATTATATATATGCATCTGTATGTAACAGTATGTGTTTACATAATAAGAGCTTGTACCTGAAAGTAGTTTTCTGCTTTGATTAAAATTTCACCATTGTCCTCAAACTCAGGAACACATGTTAATAGAATCAAACAGGGCTTTGACATTAAAGGTATGTGTTGTATTAATATGTAGCGCATTTTGTGCCCTTGTGACTTTTGACGATTGAAATATGGATCATGTCGTATGATTCTTTCTGGCAGCTCGACGAGATCAGCTCAAGGAATAACTTCCGATCGCAATCATGGGAAGTCGGTGATCATGATCAGCAAGCTATGCCGTACGGTCACAATCATGCTCATTCCCAGGGGCTGATATTCCATCCTCTGGACTGCAACCCTACTTTGCAAATAGGGTAAACAACTATACACGTTAATTCCTATAATTCGTCAAAACTTTCTGTCCTTTAGAAAGTACAGGTCCTGCATTTAACAAATAGAAGTGAAAGATGTAACATGAAATTTATCTTATATAACAGTGACTTTGGAAAAATATAAAAAAAATAATAATAATTGAATATATTTTGAAAGGTATTATTACGTATAATAAATAACACGATACACTTTTACTTCTAAATATTATAACGGAGGATTGGTCCCTAAATGACGGAGACAAAACCCTTAATTGTTCTCCTCATCGTTTATTCTTTGTGAAACACTTGTTCAACATTTATTGACTTCTTTTTTAAATAAAAACAGGTATAATGCTGCAGTTTCGGAGCAAATTACCAGCACAAGCCAAGCTCAACAAGTCAATGGCTTCATTCCTGGGTGGATGCTTTGAATTAGCTAGCCGTCTAGTCCCTTATGCTTAATCAATCATTGAGCATATATAACCAAGCAGTATATGCTTTTTGTGTGTTGACTCTCTATCTATAGCTATTTTGGAAGTGGTTTTCATGAACAATATGTAACTTTTGTATGTTGACATAAGATCAGCAGAGACTGAGTTTCAGATGACCATGAAACGACATGCTAATGCTTCAAGACATATTTATAATTAACTCTTTTGGAACTTATTTTTTGGCTTGATTATTAACTATTGAAATGTTTGGTATCTTTGCTTTGAACAATATCTTTTCTTTTAATTACAGTACTATGAATGAAATGTTTCAGTTACTTCTCTTATATTTATGGTCAGGCTGTACTTGTGGAGCTGTTTTTTGAGTTATTCTTATGAGAAAAAAGAGACAAATTCCCTATTAAATTGTTTGAGTCTTGATTTTTACCATTTACTCTTGATTAGTACTTTTTTAATCAAATACTATGTTATTAAAAGTATATTAATAAAAAAAATAAGGTGTAAAAATGTAAACTTATGCCCTTCTAATGATAACTTCAGTAAATTTCTCTATTCCATGTTGATCTTTAAATTGAGTTTTTTGACATTTGCTGGACCCACCAATCGAAATTAAGATTGCAACTGCACTCTTGTGAGACCTTATCAGATTGTCAAAGCGATTTGTTTGGGCCCCAATGTTTACAGAAAAACTTCCCAAGAAGTGTGGCCTTTGGAACCTTCGGAAAGTAAAGCCCATTTCCACATTTACCTCTGATCGCCATTCCCCGAGGATGTTTCTCTGCTAGAGAAAATCAGAAAATTAGAAAATGTGGTTCATGAACTCTTCTTTCTCTCTCTCTCTCTCTCTCTCTTTTTTAATTTTGTACATGAGTACTTAATACGATGATTTGTGTCATGATTCTAATTATAATTCGTAACTCGTTACATTATTTTCGCTTATAAAAATACACATAAATTAAAAATAATTTTAAATTATAATTTTAAATTTATAAATCAAACGTCGTTAAATTATGACCTTTTTAGTTAATAACATATTAAGGGAATGAGTAATTGTAAAATCTTATCTTTATGTGTTAAGAAGTGAAAAATTTTTATGCACTCTCACTAGAAGGGCACTCTAGATTTCACTTTCTCTAATTTCATCAATACAACGATCATCTCCCATTTCAATACAGGAGCAATCCATATATGTCCGCCTAAGGTCTAATACACGATTTTAGAAGGGAAAGATTGATGGCCCGTTTAGTTCGCTGATTCGAGTTTTTAATTCGAGTTGAGATGTGATTTTATGTGAGAGCTTTTTACTGTAGCAAAAAGGTTAGATTTAATTGTTTGTGAGAGCTTTTTACTGTAGCAAAATTCGAATTCTAAACTCGAATCAGCGAAATGAACAGGACCTGAGTGAACTTTTTCAATGATTATAAAAACACGTCGCATTAAAACTATATCTTATTAGTGAAGCACTTTTTTTATTATTTTTTTAATCCCCATGTGTCAAATGCAGGGGCTCCTAGGATTCATGTGGGCCCATTAAATGGGCGCAATAGAAGCTTTTTTTTTTTTTTTTTCCTTTTTTTTAAGCGAGACATGCACCATTTGTTTGAAATTTTACAATTTAGTATTGATTAATATTCTTCATTTCACTAATTTGAGTTTAAAATTTGAGTTTATTACAATAAAAAACTCTCAAAAATAGTTACATCTAACTCTTTTACTACAGTAAAAAAATCTCACATAAAATTATATCTTAACTAAAATCAGTGAATTAAACGGGTTCTAACTATATTAGTTAAAATAATATTAATTAATAATAAGGAGTCAAAATTTAAGTTCATACATTTCAAAAGTAAACTCAGTAGTTTTTCTTTTCACACTATCATAAATTTTTCATTTTCAAAACAAAATTTTCATTTTCAAGAAAAGAATTTTAATGGTAGGAATAGTTATTTATTGAAACAAAATTATTATTTTAACTATTAGATTAATTTTTTCATACTCTATTTTGTGATTGATCATATTAGAAATTTACAGTTCAGAATATAAAACTGCTCCTTATCACAAATTAGAGCTTTGAAAAATAAAGAGTATGCTCATGTCATGATTTGAGTTGTGTGTGTGAGAAAAAAATTACTGTAACAAAAAAAGTTAAATTTAAATTTTTATGAGAAAAAATACGAGTTATTTTTATAAATGCTCCTGAACTATGTACTATATTTCAACATGCCCCTTGATTTTGTAAAACAGTTCAAAACACCCCTGATTTATAAAAAAAATATATCAAATCACCCCTCTGTCAATTTCAGTGTATAACATTAACAGAATTGATGATGTGGCAAGTATTTTTAAATACTCGTTCGGTTCGCTAATTCAAGTTAAGATGTGATGTTGTGTGATAGCTTTTTACTATAGTAAAAAAGTTAAATGTAACTGTTTTTTAGAGCTTTTTACTATAATAAAACTCGAATTCTAAACTCGGATCAGTGAAAAAAACGGGAATTAAACTGGGAAAAGATTGATTATTCCATAAAAAATGTTATTAATCTTAAATTATGATTAGTTATTTTTTATTTATGAACAGTGAAAATGCTTTTGTTTTATTTGATATTTTTATATAATTGGTCTTAGAAACAAAACAAAACAAAAAATCCTTTCCATAAAAAAAAAATCCTTCGAAAGCCCAGTTTTCCCTAAACTTGTATAATGGAGGAAGGGAGAAACCGGAGAAGGCTCGGCAAAGGCAGGCTCGGTGACGGCGATGGGCTCGCGACGACCGACAGGCGACGGCTAAGGCATGCTCGCAGATGAGAGTTGCAGCGGTGGAGAGGGACGATGGGGCTCATAGCAGCTCGCAAATAGGGTGGGCTAGACGGATCAAGGTTTTCGCGGCGTTGGAGTAGGCTCGACAACGCTCGCGCGGCGGAGGAGCGGGTTCGACGGGCTGCTTCGCGACGACGACAACGATGCTGGGGTTATGCTTGGCTGGGTTCGTGAGAAGTTCATCAATTTTGGGTTGTTTATTTTCTGAGCCAATCTGCACTTTGAGAAGTCTAATGAGAGTACTTTTTTTTTTTTTCTTTTTGCGTTTAGGTTGTTTTGGGTTGAGAAGTTATCAACTTGGGATTGTTCTTTTCCTGAGCCAATGGGAAGTTTAGGTGAGAATAGATGGCTTTTTCCTTTTCCCGTTTGAGTTCAATCTGCACTTTGAGAAGTTTTAGGGCTCGTTTTTTGATGTTTTTGAGTTAGATAACTTGAGTGTAGATTTTGAATTGAGTTTGAGTTATAATTTGAGTTAAAATTATAATTTGAGTTTGTGTTTAGTTGTGTACATTTGAGTTATGGTTTGAGATAAGAATCTTTTTTGAGTTTGTGTTTGAGTAAGTTAAAACTTGAATTTATTTTTAGATAGTATTTTAATAAAAACTCAATGTTGGTGAAAAATTTTAATAGGGTATATGGGTTTAATTTTATTCGTATTTTCATTGTCAATGCATAGAAAAAAAAATCATCTCAATCAGAATTAAAACGAAAAAGTTATAATATTTTTAAGAATAGAAAAAATACTGTTCATTAACTTGAGTTTGAGTTTTTGAACTCGAGTTGAAGGAAAAATTTGAACTCGAGTTTTAGTTCCAAACTCAAGTTTAAACTCGAGTTCAAACTCGAGTTCAAATTTAAAAGAACATAAACTCGAATAAAGTTATAATTCGAGTTATCTTTTTTTGAGTTTTTCACTCAAAAACTACATTGCCGAACAGGCCCTTAGTCATGAGAAATGTTTTCTTTTTTTCTTTTTTCGTTTTGGTTCTCTGAGTAGTTTTTTTTTTTTTCAATATTTAATGATTATTATTGATTAGAATTTAATATATTTAGCTAACTATTAATAATGTGCCACGTCATCCATTCACTTAAAAATATACAAAGAGAAATATGGAGGGTGATTTGATTTATTTTTTATATATCAAGTGGTGTTTTAAATTATTTATAAAATTGAGAGTATTTTAAAATAAGGTTCATAATTTAAGAGTAATTATGAAAATAATTTAAAAAATATTAATAATATAATTTGAGTCATTAAAAACATCAAATAAAAGTTAAAAGATATTTTTTAAAGAAAAAATAGAAAAAAGTAAAGGAAAAAAAGACAAAAGAAAAAAAAAGTAAAAAACGATTAAACGTAGGGTTCGAGTAAAAAATTTAGGTTAAGTCTTTATTTAATAAGGATTCTTCAAGTAAATACTCAAGTTTATATTTAAGAAAAACAACTACTCTTGAGTCTCATCCCTTTAATTTAAATTCAAGTTCAGCCGTAATTATTGACAAAATTTACTTTTTCTTATTTTAATAATAAATTTTAAACAAAAATAATTAACTCTCATTTATTTTTAACTATTTATAACTCAAATTTAAATATATTAAATATATATTCAAATTAAATTTTTAATTTAAAAATTAATTTAAATGTGTACATTTAAATATAAATATAAATTATATTTTTAATTTAAATTATAATTTAAATTTAACTCAAAACTTATACGTAAATTATTATAATTTAAAAATATAACTGAAGCAACCCTTATTCCTTTACCTCTCTTAGTACTGGACGTCTGCGTCAGTGTCAGTCCAAAGCTTGACGAAGATGAGTCACGACTGCAACTCTGTTCCCCCAATCGGAGCTCGCCAACGTTTCCCTTTCTATAAAACCTGTCTGGTTTTTTCTTTTCCACTTAGATAAAACGTCTCTCTCTGTTTTTTTTTTTTTTTGGACTGGACCCTCTCTTTCCTTTTAAATCCAAACTAAACGAAATCCAGAGCCAAAAATCCAAACCAAAAGAATAAAAAAAATTAAAACCTTTCACAGCCAATTCCTGCTATTCAATAATCACTTATGTGCGTGTGAAAATGGATTTAGTTTCCCATAAAAATGGGTTTTTCTTTTTTAGTATTCACAATATGGTGGTACTGAAAAAAGAAAACGACGAGATCATGGCGGAGAACAAGATTAGTGGGTGGCTGTTTCTTCTCAAGAGATCTCTCAGATTTACTCGACGTCGGGGATAGGAGAATATTTGCTTACGATGGATTTGTCTTAGAGAAAGCTCAATGTATGAGTACGTATGTATATTCCTTCTTATTTTCTTTTCTTTTATTATGCAATTTTAGATGATATTAATTAACTGCACTTCTTTATCTGATTATGTCTGGTCCTGTGTATACCTTTACAACTCTCCTGTTATTGTCT